GGGACCACGAGTGGTTTGGTTGCGTAGGTGGTACTGAGATGAAACCGTAGACATGCGGTAGGCTTGAATCGGAGTTGTAATGAAGTTTTGGGGAGCAAATTAAGTTCGATGGCGGAACCGTAATTATTTCAAAGTAAATTGGTGTAAAAATCAGATTTTCAGTTTTTACCCCTCACTTTCTCTCTCTCTCTTTCTCTCCCGCGTCTCCTCCCTCTGTGCGAACTCCCCCCCCCCCCCCCCGGCCTTCTCTAGCTTTCCTCACACAATGCACCACCACCCCACACCTGTCTCCCCCGTCCGACGAGACCGGTCCCATTCGAACCGCCACCTCCTCCTTGTCTCTTCCCGACCCATCTCCACCCCGGGAACCGTCGCAACCCACCGAAAAGTGTAGAGAAACAGACCGATTCTTGGACAGATTTTCCCATCTTCGTTCTCTTTCGATTCTTCACCAATTCAGTCGAGTAAGGTATGGATTCTCAGCTATTTTATCTGCTTTAGCTGTTTATGGGGTTGGATTGGAACGATTTTGAAGTTTGGAAGTTGATTTTGGAAGCTAGGTTTTGGCCGGTTTTCAATTTGAAATTCCGGCCAGTTCCCGTACGAATTGGACCTTGTGGTAGTTGAAGAAAGTGATCCTGACCTTGAGAAGAAGCTAGGGTAGGAAGGGTGAGCATTGGTGTGGAGATTTTCCGTCGCCGGAAATTTCTCTACACACCCACGCGCTGCGGGCGTGTGTGGCGGTGCGTGGGCAAGGCTGGTGAAGTTGCTTTTTATCTTGATGAGATCCTTAGGTCATCACGAGTGCGTTGGATTTTACGGATCCTAATTTGGATGTCGTTTGACTATCGAACGGATTTCACATATTGTGCGTTATCCAGGTTCGATAAGTTCTAACCGTGGGATCGTTTCCAAATTGAAGTATGTTGATCTAGGTACTCTTAGAACCCTATAGGAATTTGCGGATCGTGAATCATGAATCGGAGCCCCGGATGTTCTGATTCAATAATTTGAAGTTTGGGGATTAGCGATAACCGTACGATTGGAAGCGATTCCCAAACCTGTAACCGGACCTTAGGATATTCCATTGGACGTACATGCACCGGGAACTTGGGGACTTAAGTATTTCCTTTTGTGAATTTCCGTTTTAAAGTGCGTTATATTAATCAAGAGTTCGTATCTCGAAATAGGTACTTCGGTCGATCATTCGCAGCATGCAGGACCCTCTCGGGGCCGGGCAGCTTGGGATTATCTGTGAGTGGATTTGTTTTAAGCATATGCATGGTTTTATTGATAAAAGATTTGTGCATATATTTTAAATGGTGATTATGATTTAATAATTATTTGGTTGAAAGATTTGAATATTCTTATGCGTATTGGCAATATATTTTGAATATGGATATATTTGAGTATGATGAATATGTTTATATGAATTTTGGGATGTCTATCTATACTGCCTATGTATAGAGTATGAGGGGTTGTTGTATTGAGATGTGGAAAGATATGAGTTTGAAGGATGGTGGTGAGATGTATGAGTATGTTAGGTGAGTACCATTCCCTAGTTACTAGGCTTCCCACACACGTCGTTGGCAGTGCCGGTGGGGTGGGCAGGCCATGAGATTGTGGGTCTCACACATGTCGTTGGCAGTGCCGGTGTGTGAGACACTTCCCATACGTGTCGTTGGCAGTGCCGGCGTATGGGAAGAGTATGTATATTGCTTAGTATTATCACACACGTCATTGGCAGTGCCGGTGGGGTGATGATACTGTCTGCGCACGTAGGACTTGTTATGAGATATGTGAGCTACTTGTGTCGTTGGCAGTGCCGGCGTGTGAGCTATGGAGTTCCGTCCCCTGGTTGGACTACTCATCCCTAGACGAGGGTTAGTGCTCGGAAATCCTGCATACCAGCCAAACAATCCCCCAGTTGGATTGTTTCCCCGGTACATTAGTATGGAGAGAAGTGTATATTATATTATAGTTATAGTGATAGATATTTATATATATATATATATATGTGTTTACGGGTTGATGAGAGTTGCATATCTTTGGGAGTAGAGTTGTGGTTTTGAGATTTGGAGATTTATTGGACTTTGGGATGATGTGTTTTGAGTATTTGGTTTATGAATTGTGAAACTGCATGCTAGAGCATTATTTTTACACGGTGGGGCTATTATGTTGTTTTAGAATGCAAACTTTAATTTTGTCCACTCACATATTTCCGTTTTGCGCCCCCCAGGCAGTAGTTGCTCTTGGAAGCGTTCGAGCAGGTTGCGAGCTCAAAACGTTTCATCCGTAGATAGGACTTGTGTAAATTCCTTTTACTCAACTGTTTGTTGTAAACAAATTCTGTTAGATGCTCTGTTATCGCCCATGTTAGGTTGTTACTTGTGGCCGGAGGCCATTTTACTTTGGAATGTTGTATGTTGAAAGCATGCTGGCAATTGGGATTTATATTATGTAAATTATGCAGGTTGAATGTTGTTGGGTTTGAGCATTTTACAGGGGAGACTCTGTCAAAATTTTGGTAGGATGTCTTGGGTTTTTAGTAAGTGGGCCCGGCATCGGTGTGATGTCGGCACTAAGACGGGGTCCGCCCCGGTTTCAGGGGAAATTCTGGGGCGGGTCCTGTCACTTGAGCTCCTAAATTATTATTTGTGTATTGAATTCATTCGCCATCCAAAAATTATTATTTGCGTATTGGTAAATTTCCAGCTTCAAAACAGAACAAATCTCAATTTATTATTTTGAGTTTAACTCTATTGCAATCCATTGAGTAACTTGGCCAATTTGCAAACTTGGGAAGAACCAATTAAAAAGTCATTAAGTTGTTAACATAATTGGTTAATTCTGTTCATTAATCTTTTACGTAACATAATTGGTTAATTAAGATCGTCATTAACTTTGTTCCTGCATATTTTTTCGTCGTACGTCTTCTTCAGTTGCATACTAAACTGAGACAGAACCAAAACCAGCCACCAATTTGAAGAATTTATGCCACCCCTTGCAAAATCTATTTCTGACAATGCCACCCCTATTCTACTTGTAATATAGGGGTGACATTTTAAACCGAAAAATCGAAAAACAGCAAAAACCAACCGACAATTTACCGCAATGAAACCGCAATCGTGGTTAACCGAACCGCATTTGCGGTATTAAGAACCGAACCGCATTTGCGATTGCGGTTGCGGTATTTAATTTTCAAAACTTGTGGTTACCGCAAACCGCAAAGTATAGCCGCACGGATGATAAAGTTGAATTATACAAGGAAATAGAACATATGACAACTTGTAAGTAATTAGTTTATTTAGGCTAATGTTATTTATGCTTCTTCTTATTATAAAATGTCCTAAACTATGTTGTTTTATGTGTAGATACGATTGGTGCTCAAACAATACAACGGTGTTCTTCAAATCCACTCACCACCAACACTTGAGTTTGTAACATTGGTGCATTGCATTTTCCTTTTAGTTTGTAACTTTAATTAACTTTGAATTGAATTTTCTTTTTGGTTGTAACTTTAATTCATTTTGCTTTGCATTTTCCTTTTGGTTTGTAACTTTAAAAGATTTGGAATTGGAATGCTTGAGAAGTTTAACTTTAATTGGAATGCTTGGAATTGTAACTTTAATTTTCTTAGGTTGTGAATGCTTGAGAAGTTGAGGAGATTGTGAATTTATATATGCTGAAGAAATTGAGGTTGTGTATTTATTTATTTAGGTTGTGAATTTATATTTTTGTGAATGCTTGAGAACTTGCGGTTTTAAACCGCTAATTCGCGGTAACCGACATTTGATGTGTACTCCAAGATCGAATTTCCAATTGCCGCAAAGAAAAACTATGGCAATTCACATCTTCGTGTGGTTGGCTTGGCACTTGTGATGGGCTAGTTTGTTTTGCGGATGATATCCCCTCTTATGCTTACAACTTCATTATATGGAAGTTTGGAACCCAGCCATTAAAAAGTCAGTGACCCTTCCCAAGCCTGGTATTACCTATCAGACACATGGTCGGTACGATGCTTCTATTGGGTTCGGTTTTGATGCTACAACCAATGACTATAAGGTTGTGCGAGTTGTGACTTTATTGGATGAAGATGAGAAGCCAACTCTAGCTGAGGTTTATTCCCTAGCCACCGACACATGGAGCACCCTTGGTTGTGTTTTTCCTGCATGTCTAATAGATAAAGCTGCATCCAATGCTTTTGTTAATGGGGTTCTTCATTGGCCTGTAGTCTGTCAGACAGATGTTGATTCTTACTATATTATATTGACATTTGACCTGGGCAAGGAGGTGTTCAGTAAGATACCTATGCCGAAGATTATTCAATGGAATTTCAAGTTGGGATTGCAATTGTCTGTTTCAGATAACAGAAAATCTATTGCTTTGTGCATGACGCTCAACAATCGTGAAGATTTCATAACGGATTATAGGCCTGAAGATTTTGTTATTGATATATGGGTGATGAAAGAGTATATCAGAGAGGAATCATGGACCAAATTGAATGCTCTCTGTCCACAAGGTCCAGAAACAATTTTCCTTGGCACCTTATGTTTTAGGAAGAGTGGGGAAGTACCATTACTGCTCAAAGAAGAAGAGAGACAGGAACTAGTATCAATAGACCTTGTCAGCAAACAGTATAAAATTCTTGGGATTTCTGGATATAAATATTGTACTGGTCATTTTTATAGAGAGCCTCCTCTTACTCGACAAGAGCGATGCAAAGTCTTACTAAAGAGAAAGAACAGGTAACGTGACTATAGTGCTGAGAGCAGAACATTTCAATTCTTTGTTTGCCAGGTTTTTATGTTCATTAAAAGCATGATTGGTGACTAAATTGCTGTGGGATCTTTATTATATCGACTTGTTCTTTTAGCTGATTGTCTTTCTCACTTTTGTTGCTAGAACACAACTTGTGACTAAAGTCAACACAGCTCTCATGGAGACTCAATTTGGATATCAAAAAGTTAAAACATTGTAATTATAATAATATGAACTCAGCTCTCATGTAAACACGATTAGACTGGTCTTTTACATGCTCTTAGTTTTTTACATATATAATATCAACTTGGTATGACTTTAGACGGTGAACTGATTGCTGCTACTGTAGTGAAGTCTGTGATTCAATTTACATGGTTTTGTTTGCTGCTGTAATATATTGTGCAATAGTTCATGCTTTAATCCCTTTTCCAATGTTTTCATTTGTACAATAGTTTTTCCAATTTAGCTTTCATTTTTGTAAGCATGAAGAGGAAGTTTGATTTGCACTCCTGAAGAAGTACTGGGAAAAGTTTTGACAAGTGATGTCAACTCTAATGCTTAACAATTGATTAATGCAGCACTTTTCTTGTTTTCTTTTGTTGCAAATTTGTAGTGCAGTAACGTTGTTTGCCGAAAGTGCTTGATGTGCGTCAACGTCTGTTTCTTGTTATCTATCGTTTTCTTGTTCATTTTTTTGCCGATTTGTATGGCAATAGTGTTTTATGCCTGAAGTGCCTGATGTTTCTGTGTATTTACTTGGCATGGAACTTGTTATCTAGTAGTTCTTGCACTATTTATTCTTCAGCTTTTGAGAAACTTTAATGGAATTATCTAGTTACAAATTTCATTTGCCTTTGCAGTTCTCTGCACCAGTTTCCATGAAATGCTTTTGCAATTTTCATTTTCATTTTTATTGCATAGTTTTCCCTGAGCTGAACATTTGACAGCAGAATTCACTTTTAATTAAGTCATGAAGGTGATTTGAAATTGTACTTGTTTTAGTTAACTGCATGCCTGCAACATATGATGGTTGTCCATTTTTGCAATTGCATTTGTTTAAAGACCATTTTTGCAACTTTAAACTCAACCCCCCATTCAACATTCGAGTCAATAATAATGAAGGGAACTCTCTTTGATTTTTAAATTTCATTAAAATTCCCAGAAGCTCCGACAAAGCACCTGGTTTCAGAGGCTAGAGTAGTTTCAGCATTTGAATTAAGAACTAATTTGTTAATCATAGCAGTGAGTAAAAGCATATTTTAGCACTAGACTTTAAACAAATGCAAATTTCAGCACTAGTCTGTAAGAACATTTTGATTAGGAGTTGAAATCACTGTTGCAGTTTTCTATTGAATGGTTTTTCTTTAGGGATTTAGATTAATCACCTCTTTGATTTGATTATATTTGATTTATAATCCAAATTTCATCAAAGCAATTTCCATTGGAGTAGCCTGAAGAAAATAGATTTATGGATGGAATCAAATATGCAGTATTTACAGACAAAAGTATTCGGTTATTGGGGAAAAATCAATATACTTCTAATGTCGAATCAGGATCAACTAGGACAGAAATAAAGCATTGGTTCGAACTCTTCTTTGGTGTCAAGGTAATAGCTATGAATAGTCATCCCGAAATCCGGTAGAAGAAAGAATATAAACAAACAAAAAAATTTTGATTATACATAATTACATAACATAATTGCCAACAAAAATTTGTTTATTTTTAGAGCTTGATGTTGATAAATCCGCGGATCTCTTGAATTCCATATAAGATTTGACGTGCATGCCATCTTTGACTCTTTAGAGGTTGTAAAGGTCAATACATTGACCAAAAGATGCAAATTTTGAAACATATTTCTCAAATGAGTTAATATATAAAGGGTAAGAAACCAAAGTCCAAGGCCAAAACTTTCGAAACCAAGGTGTTGTGTCAAAAGTTGGGCAGTGATTCATGATACAACCTCTCTTCTCTGACCCGCAAGCCCAGTATCTCGAAGGCCCACTTGGTTATGGGACCAGTGTCCTCTGTTTTTCCTTAGCATTAAGAGAATAATACATCTACCTTGGAATTGTCTCCACCTGTCCCCACTCATCTAAGGTTTCCTTGTTAAGCCAGACCCCATCATGTCATTATAGAAACACGTCTTTCACTTCTAGCTTATATAAAGGGTGTCTACGGCCGAGACTTTCGAAACCAAGGGTCTTTTACTTCTAGCTTTTGCTTCTTCCATCTTCTCTGCATAACTTTTATAGTCTCAGAATATCGATGCAAGCCTTGAGAAGACTTTTTGTCTGCTCCTTGTTAATCTCCTGCATAAGAATCTCAACTACAACCGCATTAGACACAATCACTCCAAGTCGATCGATGAGAGATGGTGAAACTCTAGTTTCAGCAGGTGGAAGCTTCGAACTGGGATTCTTTAGCCCTGGTGCATCAAAGGGCCGATACTTGGGAATATGGTACTCTTTTGATACTGATACAGTTGTATCGTATGGGTAGCCAACAGAGAAACACCACTTGGCGATTCTTCAGGAGTTTTGAAGGTCACCGAGCAAGGAGTTCTAGTCCTTCTCAATAGCTCAAACAGCATGAAATGGACATCCAATTCATCTAGAACTGCAGGGAATCCAGTATCACAACTCATGGATTCAGGAAACCTTGTTTTGAAAGATGGAAATGAAACTAACCCTGATAGCTTCTTGTGGCAGAGTTTTGATTATCCTTGTGACACATTCCTACCAGAAATGAAGCTTGGTTGGGACTTAGTTACTGGTTTAGATAGGTACGCCTCGTCTTGGAAGAGCACAGACGATCCTGCTCCTGCAGAGTTTTCAGTAGGGATGGATCGCCGTGGTTTGCCACAAGTTTTTATTATGAAAGGAGCTAAGATAATGGCTAGAGGAGGGTCATGGAACGGCCTTTATTTTACAGCATATCCATATCCTCCACAAAACACAGCATTGGAGTATGAATTTGTGTTGAACAAGGATGAGGTCTATTATGAGTACAGGCTTCTAAACACGTCCATGTTCTCCAGATATATGTTGACTCCATCAGGCATTGTGCAGCGATTCAGATGGGTGTACCAAACACATAGTTGGGAACTTTCCTCTGCATTCCAAGCAGACCAGTGTGAGAATTATGCCTTGTGTGGTGCATATTCTAGTTGCAGTATCAATGTCTCTCCCATATGTGCATGCTTGAAGGGATTTGTACCAAAATCTCCAAAAGATTGGAATTTAGGATATTGGTCTGACGGGTGTGTTAGAAAGATTCCATTGGCTTGCAGCTCTGGAGATCGCTTCCTAACGTACACTGGGGTTAAATTGCCAGACACATCTTCCTCGTGGTTTGACAAAAGCATGAGCCTCAAGGAATGCAATGGATTATGTTTGAACAACTGCTCATGTACGGCATATGCAAATTTAGATATCAGGGGAACTGGCTGCTTGCTGTGGTTTGGTAGCCTCATTGACATAAAGGAATTCACTGCCGGTGGCGGTCAAGACCTCTACATACGGATTGAAGCTTCAGAACTTGGTAAGTCTTAGACTTTTATTTGATCTTTTTTCAAGACAATAGTGGAAAACATTTTGACAATATATTTAGAGGTTAAGGGAAAATGATTTTTTGTCTGCTTGTTGTGTTTTGCTTTTGTAAGGGGGTTTGATGGGGCAGCAGTGAGAAGCAGCATGAAAACCCGAATTACATGTTCTTCTACCCAGTGGCGAAGCTAGGATTTCATGTGTGTGGGGGTCTCTTACAAAATATAAAGAATCAAAAATTCGAACTCATAATACATACAAAAAATAGTGTATATATATATATATATCACATATGTCAAGAATTATATCACTTATTGGTTGCAATCATAATTGTTCTCGACAAATGGATAGACAAATACATTCTAAGCAAGAAAAATTGCAAGGGATAAACAAAGAGTAGAGATTTAGCAAATATCTTTAAAGCTTTTTCCCCATTAAATCCAATAGAAAGGAAAAAAAAAATCAAAATTTCCCAAATTAAAAACAACCTTAGGCCTCTTTATGCATTCATATCATACATGAAAAAATATTGACTAAGTATGAAAAATGGTTTTTCGGAATAATCATTTTCTCAAGATAATTTTTGGCGGCTTTTATTCCTTACACATGAAATAAGAAAACTTGATTTTATGGGATTTTAGTATAAAGTATATATTGACTTAATGAGCCATCATTTTTAGCCTAAATCGTATTTTACACTAAAACCGATTTTTCATATTTTGACTTGGTGAGAATTTGATTTTCTAGTATTTTTATTTGAATTCAAATAGGGGGTACTTCCTTATTTACATTGTAAATTTAAGTAAATTGAGTAATATAAAAATAAATTAAAGTCAAAGGACAAAGACATTTACTTAAGTGTGGAAAATGGAAATAAGGTAATCTGTACACCTGGAGTGCATCACCACTAGCTGAGCAAGGGCGCAATTTGAACTACCTCCTTGTGCCTTAATAACTCCGCCACAATACATGTTGGTACATATCAAAACATAAAGTATTTGAAATAATATACATATACAAATACATAATAGTATATTACTTTTAAAATATAAAAAAAACTTGAGTGGAGGCCCGGACCACACTGGTCCCAGTGTGGCTCCACCCCTGCTTCTACCTAATGGTAATAGCATGAAAACCACAAATGGTGGAGATTTCCTGGGTTGGCCTTGCTGCTTCATCTGCAGTTATGCAAAGTATAGCTAAAATAAGTTGGTTTTAGATTCACCACTACTTTAACATGAGAAAATTGCATGAAGCTTCTGTTTTGATTATAATATTTCAGATAGAATTGAGAGAAAGAGCACTTTCAAGAAGAAAAAGCTACCCAGAATACTCATCGGCTCTGCAGTTTTTCTTGTGTTTACAATTGCATTGATATTGTATATACGAAAGAGGAAACTCAGAAATCAAGGTAAATATCTCAACCTGGAAAGTATCTCGACTATG